AAGTGTATGCGAAGGCATCATCGGGGCGCCGCCCCCTCCACACGGGGTTTTGACGCCCCCTCTGGTGCAGCGTCCCTATGCGTTGCATGCGCTGCATACCCACTTTTTGCGCCACTGAGTCAGGCCCTGGAGCAGCTTGCAGCCAGGCACCTGGTTAACCCTTCACCTCTTTGGTTTACCAGAGCATCACCCTAAGAATGTGGCAGGAAGTTTCTTCCACATCAGTTTACCATCTGCAAGAAGGGTTGCAAGAAGTTTCTCAGAGTTTCTCAGGTTCTGCACATGGTGCAGTTGGTAGCACCACAGTAGTGGACGGTAACGGAGTACATTCACTTTAATGCTGTACTTTAGGACATTTTTTGAGTATCTTTCCTTCAGTATTAATTTTTTGGGGAACTTCTGACTTTCAATTCCACTACATTTCCAGGGTGCTTGTTGTTACTCGTGTCTTTTGGCTCAGCATAGCTTCGTAGTCCCCTGCTGCTGCTTTTCTTTACTGAAGTGCAATTGGCCATAAGAAGGGGAACCAATCACAGTCGCTGCTCACACCTGGGATCTGGCGTTCTGTCGTCCTCGTTATGTGTGCCGAGCTGAGCTTCTGCTTTCATTTAAACATTTGAACTCAGCAATGGAGAAACCAGCGCACACATGGCCAGATCTCAGCTCCATGTTTGTAGCTTTTATGTTAAATATGGCATTACTTTTAGTTACTAGTGTTGCTGTTTGGGGGATAATATGTCTTTTCTGTTATTTGTTTTTCTTTTTTCTTTTGGGGCTGCTGGGACGGGCAGAGTGCCTCTACATGTGCAAACTTTTTATTGAGCAACTTTTACTTGAAGCTGACCACGAGTATCAATACTTTACTCAGGTACTAGAGCTTCGTCCATCATTGGTTATCCAGTCTAATACGTGACACACATATTAGACCTGCCAGGCCTTAGAGCAGCTCGCTGGCAGGTACCTGGTTAACCCTTCACCTCTTTTGGTTTGTCGGAGCGTCACCCTGAGAAAATGACAGGAAGCATCTTCTACATGACATCTGCAAGAAGGGTTGCAAAATGCACAAAGGCGACGTTCACACCATAGTTCTTGATGCTCAAACTTAACTTTCTGAAATCAGATTTTTTGTTATGGTCGTTCACATTACTTTTAAAATGTTGGATATATCTGACTTCATTGTGAATTGTTTCCAAACTGACCCACATGCGCAAAAGAACAAGACCTTCTCTGCTTCAGTTAAACTCCCCACAGTTCTTCACCGCATGACTGACACATGAAAACAACCTAAAGCCAAATATTATTTACTATCGGCCAAGTTTTATTTTGAATTTTGCAGAGCAACAACACACTTAAATCAACTGTTTTTCTTTTACAATTACATATTTTTGGTTTATCACAGAAAATATTTGGAAAAAATCTCCAGCTCACTTCTGAAAGGGAACGATTTCCAAAGCGAACAAAGCAGCAGGTTGTTTACTTCTCTATGTGTCAAAATAAAGACCAGCATTTTGGGAAAACTTTATAAAAAATTATGAATCCCTGACTGTTACACATGTCATAAATATAAAAATAAATGTCATTTAACACATGAAAAAGCTGAATTTGTTTTGACATAGCTGACATAGAGGTTGTGATGTTCAATCTGAGAGTGATGTGAGCTGTAAGTCCAACAGCGCTCTCTACTGGCTGGGTCACTTCACAACAAAAACACCTGATTCATCTATTCATAAACATATTCTTATCCCACTTCACAGGCCTGCAGTTACTTAATGAAACTGTTTTCCTTTATTTAAAATCTAAATCTAACAGTTGGTTTCCTTCAGTTGAACTGATTTGTGTTGATCAGAGTCTGACAGCATCAGGATTCTCTGCGTTTTCCTCCATGACTTTATCTTCATTATCATCCATGTGCCTCTGCTGAAAACAAAATGTTTAATTTTCCTCTTGAATTTCTCCCAATCCTCACTACAACAATAATAAATCAATAGTGTGATGTTCTGATACCTGCCATAACTTCCTGTTTGGCTATTTTAGATGTAAAATGTTTGAACCAGTTTTTTTGTTATATTTATAATCTTCATCTGTTTACGTTCATCTGCATTTTGTTTGCTGATGAGGCAGAACTAACATGGTTTTCATTTTGGCTGTAAAAATCCTGGTTTCCCAGGACGTTTCATGTGTAAAAGTTTGATCTGTGAATGTTCTCACCGTTTTGTTTTTGGTCTTCATGTTGACTGTAATAACTGATGTAAGGAGAGCCGCCAAACCCACTGACACAACAATACATCTCAGTACGTACAGTACATGAAGAAAACCTGAAAATACAGAGATCGAGATTAAATAGGACAAAATGTACCAACAGCACCGATATCCAAGTACTAATCACCAAATGAGAAACAATGATCTTCTGCTTGTCATTATTTTTGGATTTTGTCATTAGATGATAGCTAAAATATATATTTTTCAGAGAAAAGACGATGAGAAGAAGCTTCAAAATGCGTGAAACTGGTTTTGTTGTGAGATTTATGAAGTCTATAGATGCTTTCAGTTTGGATTGTCCATTATGTTCTCACCTGTATTATGATCTGCCTTATGACCTGTGTCCTGATCTGTTGACTGGTGGCTGAAGGTGAACAGCTGAACTTCTTTAGTTGAGATATTTGTGACGTTACATTTTATAGAACTAAAAAATGTTGAGTTTTGATGAAGGGAAGTCGTCAGGATCACAGTAGAACGAAAGACGGGTGGTAATGATTTTGAATCTGAGGATGTTTCTCCTTCATACAGCCACTCCACTGTGTGTCTGGGGATTTCATAATCCACCACAGAGCAGTTTAAGACGACCGAATCATTGATCTTCTGTTCAGTCACTGGTGAAGATGGAGAAGTTGAGACAGAAAAAGTTACGTAATCTTAATAACTCTACTGTTTTAGTGTGTTGTAACAGAATAGTTTGAACAGAAAACATGTAAATACTCACAGTGAACAACAGACAGATAAACAGAGGAGTTTGGTCCTTCTTGTCCTGATGTTAACTGTCTGCAGGTGTAATGACCAACATCCTCCATGCTGACCTTCTTTATGACCAGAGAACAGTTAACAGTCACACTCAGTCTGTCTGGTATAGTTAAATTAATATTTCCAGCTTCAAACAGCGTCACTGACGCTGAACGGATGAAGCTCCAAGTTGTTCCGTCACATTTATTCTGACCATCAGTCACGTCTTTACAAGGCAAAGTCACTTCATCACCGACTCTGACTGTGAACTGAGATGGTTGTTGCCCTGCAGCTGCTGTTCACAGAACAAGACAGAAAATGGATAAAACTGAACATACAAAACACTGATTAATGAAAAAGTATGTGGCATAAATATTAATTCAGCTTTGTAATGTTATTGTTAAAGGTTTACTTACCTGTAGCTGTGAGCATCAGTATCAGCTGTAAATACATTTTAATCTCTATATTAGATCATTGTTCCTCTGTCTCGTCTTGTGAGCAAATGATTCAGACTATCAGTGGTTTCCTCTTAAAGCTGAAAACCTTGCAGGCTGTTTGCAAGGTGTCACTTCCTCATGAGTTCAACAGGAACTTGTTCGAGTAAATCTTTTAGAATATTTTAATTCAATTTTTTAAATTTTAATAATAGCGGTCAAATGGCACATTTATGTAATAGTACTGTTTTTTAGTTTTGATGTGTCAAACACACTTTTATATACTGAAGAACAAAAAACCAGTAGAAATGTGACCATGTTTGAGGTTATAGATATGTTAGTTTCATATGTCAGCTGGACTGAACAGAATGTAGCAGCAGATGTGGTCTGGTGTTTTTTTTTTTTTTTCTTGATCTGATAAAGAGAAAAACGTTTCCATTCAGGCGGGTCCATTTGAAGCATCGCCTTGTATCAGCGGCCTGGGAGCTTCAGGGTTTTGCTCAGTAGGTGAGCTGTTGGTTAGCTGGTTTATGACTGCACTCCTCTCTTCCTGGAATCTCCTCTAGTTTGAGGATTACAGCTAAAAATGCACAGATGATGAGCTGAACCAAAGCATTGACTCTACACAGCTTCTGCATTTCCTCCTTGGTATTTATTGAGCTTTTTGTGTTCCTTCTTTGCATTGTTCCATCTATCACCTTTTTAACCTTTCTTCTGTTTTATCCACCATGATGATGTCAGGTTGGTTAGTCAGTGCTTGATCATATGTTTGGATCTGAGAGTCCAACAGCATTTAATCCCTACTGATCTCCTTGATCCTTTGCCATGTCTCCCACTTTGTTTGGGGGATTTTTTTTTCAAAATTGAACGTATTGGAGTTATTTATTTGTTAAAACTTATTTCCAGTTTAGAACCTGACCAGTTAAAATGAGGCAGCCGTCAAGTTCCTGGTTAACACTTCGCTTCTTTTGATTTGTCAGAGCTGCACCCTTAGATTGAATGTAATAGTAACAGAATTTAATATTGACAGGACATTTACGCCATCTAGTGGCAACTGAGAATCTGTGCCAAGATTTAAAAATGACTCCCTATCCAATCTGAATTTTCTTTGCAAGTCAGGACAATCATTCATAGATGCTGAGCAGCTGGAAGGATTTTTGCATCATCATTATTACTTTCAGACAGTTATAATTATGATGCATATGGGCATAAACACTTTAAACAAACAAACAAAACAAAAAAACTAAAAAAAAAAAATATATATATAAACTGTCTGCTTTAGTTTTCATCCCAGCACACAGTTTATCAAAGAGGCCTTACTAACAAAACCTCAGAAATCTGAGGTTACTGCAGAAATATAATGTGCAGTGATGTTCATATGAAACTTTAAAAATCAAAACCAGAATCTGATGCTCTCGCCTGGAACGTTAGCTGGAGATTGGATGGATGGATGGATGGATGGATGGATCTGATGCAAGTGAAAAGTCAAATTAGCAAAAACTTTAAAACAGGACCAAGAGTTTAATTTATCTTGCAGCATCTGTAGGTTAGAAATATCTTAAGAAGCAAATTAATATCAGGAGTTAATAAAAAGTAACTAAAAATTTCCCACATTGCACTATAATAAAAAAAATGCTCACAACCTAAAATCAGATCCAGAAATTGATTCTTTAGGTAAATAACAAGAAAACTATTTTTTTTTTTATAACTCAGTATAAAATCTTTCTAAGCTGTTCAGAATCCTTAGCAGAGGCAGAAACTATGACACAATAAACATATTACTGCTAATAATTCACACTTTGAAATGATTAAATGTTCAGTTTTGAATAACTTTCTGTATTTTCTATATGTTCATTGGTTCAGCAGCACAGAAGAACAAAAATCTCCAATTTCCTCATAGATCACCATTTCTTCATCTTCATCTTCATCACCGTCGCTCTGAAAAAACAACAAAACACTCAAAGTTTGGAAAACTGAGGCTCTACTTTGAAAACCACTAATAGTTAAATATCATTTAAGCAGCTTTAGTTGCTTTAAATTCTTTATTGTTCCAGATTTACCTCCACAATCCCAGGAATCTTTTTGTTTCCTGAAAAGAGTAAAAAACTCAACTTTAGTTCAGCCTCAACCAAAAAACTCGATAAACTTTGGGAAACTGTCTGACCTTTAGTTTTTGTCCAGATTTCGACTCGAACGACAGAAATTATGAGAGCTGCCAAACCGATGGATACAATGATGCATCTCATCAAATATGCAAAGTCTGAAAACAATAACATTCTTAGAAACAGACATTTCCACTCTGAAAAGGTTAGACTTTAAACACTACAAAGTTAAAACATTATAGCAAAATGACAATGTGAATCCTTAAAGTAAGCGCTATGTACAAAATAAAAATGTATATGATTCTGTTGGAACTAATTTAGAGAAAAGCTGCACATTAGATGTCAGGCTGAACTTTAGCTGTGAAAAATGAATTTCAAGCATCAGCATCCATCCAGAATCTGTCACTGGCTTTGAATTTCCTGCCATTTGTGTTTCAAAGTATCAAACTTCACACGAAGCTCCCACCATGCCATAAGGACTCATGTAAAACTTACAAATGCAGATTTTAACTTATATTATTTTAAACATGCCTCACCTGATTTTTCCCCAGAGGCCTGAGGCCTGAACACAAACCGCCGAACTTCGTCTGTGTACGGATTCATCACTTCACACTTCAGTGACCTGTAAAGTGCTGACTTCTGTTCAGGGTCGGTTGTAGTAAAAGTCACGTTGGAGGAGCAGGAACCTGTTGATATCTCTACCTCTGATGTCACTTCCTCTTCCCCCTCAAACATCCACCTTACTGAGTGAATACAGTGTGCAAATTCCAACATGGAGCAGAACAGAGTGACTCTGTCATCTTCCTTCTGTTCACTTACTGGTGCAGGCAGAGATGTAATGAAAGAGCATTCAGCAAATGAGCTACAATGGCATCATGGTGGACTGATCACAGTGAAAAAGTAATTGCAGACCAATTATTAGTAAGCTTAAATCAAAGTAAAAATAATAAGTAGTACTCACAGTTTATGATAAAAACATAAATTTGGAAGTCTGGTCCTTGGAGTTGATCTAGGACGAAAGTCCTGCTGGTGTAAGAGCCGACATCATGAACGGAGACGTTCTTTATAACCAGGGAACAGTCGGCAGCCACTAACAGTCTGTTCAGTTTAGTTTCTGCAATGTCCGTTAACTGTCCACTGTCCACCAGCACCACTGGTTCCCTGGTTTCAGGATCAGCGAAGATCCAGATGGAACCTCCACAGTTTTCCTGGTTGAATCTGTTTCCGGTGGGCAAAGTAACGTCGTCTCCAGTTTGGACAATGAAGAAGGACGGAAGTGATGATCTCATGGTGGCTGTTGACAGAAATGAATGAAAATGACATCCACCATATGAAAATCTTGAGCTTATACTGAGTGTTGGGATTATTTAAAGTGCAAAACATTATAGGGAACATTAATCCAGAAGGTCTAACAGTATATTATGTAGAGACCCAATTAGCCTGTACTTTCAATGTAATAAACCAAATAATTTGATATTTAAACTGTATATTTTACAATGATGAGAATGAGTCTACCTGTGGTTGGATTGTTTGTGGAGATCCCAGGTGTTTGTCCTGCAGGTTTTGTTGGTGTTTCAGTTTTTGGTTTAGATGTTTCTGTCTGGTTTGTTGGCCTAGTAATTTCTTTGGAAGTAGTTGCAGAACTTGAATCTGAGAATCAAAAAATAAAATCCACAACAAAGTAAGAATATATTTTTTATTGTGTTATATAGTGCAATATGAGAAATATATAGTCGTAAATTTAGACATAATGAAAATAAAAAAAAAACAATTAGTAAGACTTGTGCTTATGGTAATTTAATGATGAAATTATATAAACCATTATGCCCAAAGAATATTTTTAATCAGCAGGAATCTGAGAACTGATGGCCATAAATTGATCAAATAAAGAAAATTTTGCAGTTTCATCAAATAGGAAGTATAGATACATATCTAATAGAACTGACATCAATTATATGCATTTATGCTTCTCACTTTCATTATGCAATAGAAAAAACAGAAGAGATTAATCAAGTTTATCTGATTCATATACAAAGCTAGTTAATTAAAACTGTAATACTTGGTCACTGTTTAAATTACATTTTCATTACTAGGAATAAGGAAAGTTTCTAAGCATTTATGATTGTAGTGGAAGAAGCGTGAAAGGATGACAGAAAGTCACCACCTGGCTGTTTTGTTGGATTCATGTTTGTCAATGGATTTGTTGTCACTGTTGTTGGCCAAATGTTCCTCCTTGACGCAACAGATTTACATGGTTTTGTTTTTACTGAAGTTGCCACTTTTATTGTCTTGACTTTGTTAGTTGTTGTGGCTAATTCTCTTGTTGTAGCGGTTATCTTTGTATCTGAAAAACAAACAGCAGCCAGCACAGTGAGAGCAACATGAAACATAAAGGCTGTCCTCCTGACAGCAATGTGTGGCTTTTTAAAGTGGAGCAAAAATCTCCTGTGTGCAGCCAGTCGATAAACTACAGTCACCTTTCAGTACTGAACACAACACTGATTAGATGTTTTGAGCTTCAGTCTTTGCTTTCAGCTTTCCTGGTGAAAAATGTAACTGTTAGGCTACAATGATTTAACTTTATTTGAAACATTCCTCCCCAAGAGAACAAACTCCTTACCATTATGCTTTGTGGTGTCTAATATTAAGTTGCTTTAGACTGATGTATAAAAAGGCAGTTTGAGCTGAAATTAAAGAATTTAAATGCTCACCATCAAGAACAGACAGAATCACTTCAGCATCAGGTTGTTGTTGTCGTCCTGCTGCAAACTGTCTGCAGAAATAACGACCAGCATCTTCATCTGTGACCCTCCTCATCAGCAGAGAGCAGTTGGCTGCAATCCTCAGCCTGTCTGATTTGGTTTTGGCTGCTTTGTAAATCTGTCCACGTTGAAACAGCATCACTGTTCTGTTGGTTCCTGATTTGTGGAAAAACCAGTTGGTGTATTTACACTTCTCAAGATTATCTGTCAAGTTTCCACAGGGAAGACTGACGTCATGTCCGATGGTGAAAGTGAGTGGATTGTTAAATGCTCCTGTTAAATGAACCACAGGTGGAAAAGGAAGAACAATCAGGATTATCTATTTTCTGAGCACATTGGGCTATAAAATGGTCTTATGAAGTGGCTATGTTACCTTCAGTTATGTTTATATTTCAGTAAAAACTTAAATTGACAGCAGGGTATTATGTGTTTTCCAGGCATACACCATAATCAAGGACCTATGTTAACTTCAGTTCTTATAAAAATGACTTAAAATATGACATAAGAAAAAACATAATGTTGTAATTTAGCTACTTGATATTGGGCCTCTGTCTCTGTAAAATCTCCAACTCATCCTTCAGGAAGTTATTTTATATAACGCTGCCACTTTAAGTATCTTCATGTTCACAAGTGATGGTAGTATGGAGCAGGTGAAGGACAGACAGTCTGGGTTTAGTTTCATGATGTCAGGAAACTTTACATTTCCATAAATACTTCTTA